GAACGTATCTCAATCTTTAAAAGGGGATATCTCAAAAGTGTCCGTTATTTTACGAATGAAAATAGAGAGAGAAACTCTGGTTTTACTTGTATGACCGTAAAAGAGTCATAGAAAAAGAGGATGGGAGAGGACAGAAATCGACTGGGCGTCGACAAATCACGGTGACTTTACGGCCGTGAAGGATTGTCGAGGTAGAAGAAGATAAAAACGTTACACGACGCGTAAAAGTGTAGGCCATCTATTCTCACTTTTGTCAGATCGTACTACACATACAATTCGCTTCTCGTCGGCGGTCTCACTATTTTTCCGAGGCCGTCTACATGTGAGGAGAATACACAGCTAGTTAGACAAATGAATTATGGAGATGCACTCAGAGAAAAAGACATACTGGTAGCAATATAAAAGTAACAGCTATACAAGTTTTATAGATAGAATTATTGTACAGGAAAGGAGATGGTTATGGAATAAGTAATGGAAGTTGTGGAACTAGTAGTTGTGGTACTACGATATCTTGTATAATTTACGCATAAAAAAATGTTTGATTTCATTAATTGGAATTCAAGTGGAAAGTAGATAAATCAGAACTTTCTTCTTAAATCTATTAGAATTCTAGTCGAGATCCAAGTAATAATTATCAAAATTCTGATTGATTTCGATTAGAATACGCTGGTTCGTTCATTTTCAACTAGAAGTTTTTTTTAGACCACTGGGGTAATTAGTGTTTATTTTGAGAAGTACATTGATATTGATTTTATAACTTCAGTCTACAGCTTGGAGACCTTGAACGTAGCTTTCAATGGTATAATTGAACTGGTAACGAAATGTATATTCGCAATCTATGATATAAATATTTAATACTGTGTACTACTTGATGGTATTCCACAGCTTCTCTTCTATTCCATAACCACAACTATATTTCCTTCTTCAGTTTTTTGTAAATTGTATTCGTTCTATATACCTGAAGAAGAACGTCTACCTGTAGCACAATTAGTATCACTCTATGGCTAACAAACTTGTATCGAAAGTAGTAATGTCACATGAATATCTACTGACAATGAATTACTTCAATAAAATAAAATAGTATTTCATAAGTTCCCATATATATATGTAGTTGAATGAACTACTTTATAGCTGTTGCAACTGTAAGATAGTCTTTTCAACTATAAGCATCAATTTATTCGACTATGTACATTCGTTCTACATACAAAACTTGTATAGTCACCTTTATAGCTGCTATCACTATGTTTTTCTCTGAAAATCTCTGGGAAAAGAGAAGAGAGGAGAGGGAAAAAAATCGACGGGGAGGTAAGTACAAAAATTGTATAAGGTCTAACGTCTTTCTCGGGGGAAACTATTATATATTCGAAACCTAAACATTAATTGTCGGGATGCTCGACCATGGATTTGTTTTCGCTCTTTTTTCCTCCTTTCCTTTCGGCCGCGCGGGAGTTTGTTGAGTGTTGCGAAGCTACGGTGAAAAAATGTATCAACGTGAAAAAACCGCGAGCGGCCGAACTTGCGGGGTTGAACTGGCTCTCGGCTAGTTGGTTAGCAACGCGGGTTTCGATTCTGACAATTGCGGTTCGCTCGCAAAAAACCGGACAAGCCCACTTTTTCTCACGACGAATGAGCCGTCTATTATTTAGCGCTCGCTTCACTAATGGAATATCGATTGACACCGAGAATCCCCTCCCAGGCACGCGACTGGGTGAAAAACTTGATCTACTTCTTTCGGATTTCCGGTATTTAGTCGCCGGAACCATTCGTTCTCAGAATAAGTCGGATAATACATAATTTTAGCGTTTTCTGATTTAATTAAGATAACTATACTCAATATGGATTATTTAAGCGTTGTGATTTTTGTTCAGTCTAACAGTGAAAACTGATGATTAGATTCAAAATAATCCGCATCGAACAGAAGTCATCATAACATCGAAATGGTTCTAAAATAATA